CTGGCGCAGCCGCCGCCGCCGCTGCCGCCGTCGTCGTCGTCGTCGTCGTCGTCGTCGTCGTCGTCGTCGTCGTCGTCGTCGTCGTCGTCGTCGCCGCCGCCGCCGCCGCCGCCGCCGCCGCCGCCGCCGCCGCCGTCACTGCCGCCGTCGGCGTCTGCGTCGCCAGCGTTCTCGTAGCCGCCGCCGCCGCCGTGGAAGGGATGGGATGCCCAGACCTCGAAGCCACGCGGAGCAAGAGCAGAGGCGGCGCCGTCCACGGTGGGGTCCCGGCGGACACCGCCTGCCACGCCCAGAGGTGGCTTATCGCGGTACTGAGGGGCAGCAGGGATATAGGGTGTCAAAGCATGTGGAACGTTCCAAGAAGGGCCTCGCCTTCGAGGATAGAAGGAATTGTCATCTCTTCCGCGGCGGAAGGCGGCTGAAGGTCGGCGGAAGGCGGCGGAAGTAAAACGAGGCCGCCTCCGCCGGCGGAAGTAAAGCCTGCGCCCCAAGAGATGAACACGTTCTGGGGTTCAGGGTAGGATCGGCAATGTGTATGATGGTGGTGACTCCAATGGTGATGATAACGATCAATGATGCAGTGGGTACGGGTGCGGACGAGCATGAATGATGGCTTCAGTTCTGGCGCATGCTTCTGGTAAGACACCGGCTTAGCATAGAAGAGTCCGACAAGGCACCCAGCGTCCCCAGGAAGATGCGGCTGGCGGCTAGGGCGCCCACTGGCGGCCAAAAACGTGCTCCCTGCTGGAGAAAGCAGGGACCACGACCAAAACTGAACACGGAAACGGTGTCGATCTCGATCACCGTCCATCTTGGTCAGCGCCAGTTCATGGATCATCCTCACGACATCGGCGACGGCCGACACGGACCATGGCCAAGATCGTCATCGACAAAATCCAGCCACATCTTCGTCATCGTCCCCGTGCTTTTCCTTCGATGCTTACGGTTGCAAATGCACTTGCCCGCCAACTGCCCATCCGCTCGAGCGCGCCACGAAGGCGCGCCGCGCCCTCTCCACGGCCCGCGCACCTCGCCGGCCTCCCCTGAGGAGGAGGAGGAGGAGGAGGAGGAGGAGGAGGAGGAGGAGGAGGAGGAGGAGGAGGCGGAGGAGGAGGAGGAGGAGGAGGAGGAGGAGGAGGAGGAGGAGGAGGAGGAGGGAGGAGGGGGAGGAGGAGGAGGGAAGGAGGAGGAGGAGGAGGAGGAGGAGGAGGAGGAGAGGAGGGACGAGGAGGAGGAGGAGGAGGAGAGGTGGAGGAGGAGGAGGAGGAGGAGGAGGAGGAGGAAAAAGAGGAGGGAGGAGGAGGAACACCCCTGAACCCAAAATGTTGCCATCTCGCGGGGAACAACTTTTTACTTCCGCCGCCTTCCGCGGGCCCTCCCGCCGGCGGAGGCACCCTCGTCTTACCTCCGCCAGCTTCCTCCGCCCTTCCGCCGCGGCGGAGAGGGCAACTCCTCCTCCTCCTCCTCCTCCTCCTCCTCCTCCCTTCTCCTCCTCCTCCCTCCTCCTCCCTCCTCCCTCCTCCTCCTCCCTCCTCTCCTCCTCCTCCTCCTCCTCCTCCTCCCCTCCTCCTCCTCCTCCTCCCCCTCCTCCTCCTCCTCTCCTCCTCCTCCCCCTCCTCTCCTCCTCCTCCTCCTCCTCCTCCTCCCTCCTCCCCTCCTCCTCCTCCTCCTCCTCCTCCCTCCTCCTCCTCCTCCTCCTCCTCCTCCGACTCCTTCGACCCACGAAGGCGAGGCCCTTCCTGGAGCGCCCTGCGTGTGCCCCCCCGGGCTGCAGCTCTGCAGGCGCCCGCGGGCGGCCTAGTGCGGGTGTGGCTGCGTGCGGGTGCTCTCTCGCGGGCGCCCGCGGGCGACGGCACCCGCGGTCGCAGCGGCCGCCGGAGCGGCTGCGGGCTCGCGGTGCCACCGCCCGCGGTCGGCCCGCTGCGGGTGCGGTGGCGCGCGGGGTGCTCTTGCGGGCGCCCGCGGGGGCGCCCGAACTGTGCCCCCTCGGCTGTGGCCGCGGGTGGGGCTGCGGCGGGCTGCGTTCGCGGTGCGCTCACGGGTGCAGTTGCGGCTTCGGAGGCGATTTCGCAGTTGCGGAAGCGGGCGCCCACTCGGAGGCTTCAGCTTGCCCAAGGTTGGCCCGTCCCCTGCCCAGGTATCTTGAATGTCCCCGGGGCCAAGAAAGGCCCTGGAGCGCCAAAAACTGCGGAGAACCTCGCGAGCCATTTCTCCCTCGGGACCCCTCTCCTTGTGGGGCCCCCAGATTGGGTACCTTGAGCATCAAGGTCGAGGCCTGAAAGGGCGAACCTCGGGGCCCCTTTCTCTCTCGGGACCCCTCTCTTTCGTGGCGGCCCCAAATGCAACCGTCGTGAAGCCATGAGGCACACGTAATAAGAAACGAAGGGGCTTTTCTGGCCAGGGCGGGCCTAGGCCACTAACAAGTTCCACCATACAAATTTAAGGAGCGGACCGACAACCCAAAGTGGTCCTTACTTCAGCGTCTTGGCCGTGATGAACCTCGACTTTTCGGGTCGTGCACCTTCAGCCTCTGGTCTGCACGGGGGCCCCCTTCGAAGCTCGGGGCCCAAATTTGAAGGGGAAGGCGAGGCATCGGGAGGGGCGAGGGCCCCGGCTCGGGCAAGAGGGATCGGAAGTGAGACGGAGGCTCGAGGAGCATCCATCATCGAAATCTGTGGACACATCCTCGCAAGTCGTTGGGCCTGTGGAAGCAAGCGAAAGCCTCTCAGAGGCCTCCAGAGACCTCCAGTGACCTCCAGGGCCCTCCAGAGGGGCGAAAGGGGGGGTACTGGCTTCCAGGGACACGTCGGCTTGGGTCGTGGGATCGACGGCGCATTCCCAGTGAGGCCCGCGATGCAGTAGCCCCGCGGTCCTGGGCGGGGGGGGCACGCACGCCCAGATCGGAGATGAGGGGTCGACGTCTCTGCTATGAACCGCTTCCAGAGGGGTCGACGTTTCTGTTATGAGCCGTATCCGTGCTGAGGGGTCGGCGTTTCTGTTTGGAGGGGGTGATGCTTCTGTTACGAACCGTTTCTGTTATGAGACCGGCAGGGGTCGGGTCCACCCTGTCGGCGCCACAGAGGGAGAGGAGGCGAGCGAGAGAAGGCTGCGAGGCTGAGGAAGGGACGGGGGCGACGTCGCGGATGTTCTGATCACAGCGGCGCTGCGAGGGGCACTGGACGGCTCTTGGTCAGATGCCTGGCAAAATCGTCCTTCAACATTTCGCCGGGTGCGCACACAAAACAGCCACCTAAGCCTTTGCCGCGAGAGCGGCTTTAAGCTCCGTGAGCTTCGCAACCAGCGCCTTCACCTCGTCGGTCTTGTCGATCGCCTTGCCGCTCAGGCCCTGCTCCTGTAAGAGAGCAGCACCACAAGACACAGGCATGACCTTCCGGAGGCCCGCGCGGACTTCCTGGGGCCGGCGCTGGGCGTCTGCACGCGGCAGCGCCCAAATCGCCGCCACGGGTGCTGGGAAAGGAGTGCAGCGTCGACCGCAGAAGTCAGCGTGGACCTCCGGAAACTCAGGTGAGCGACGAGAAGAAAGGGGTCCCTACGCGCGATGACGTGGCAAGCTTACGCCGCGGCCTACGCGGGCCGCCAGAGCGGCACGCTGCAGTGGAGACGAGGGCGCTCCCGCGCGACCTCACGCGGGCCGCTTGCGCGCGAACGTCGGCGCAGTCGACCCCGCATTTTGGTTTTTCGCGTCGCTCGGGCGGTGATGCCGTGCTTAGCTCTTCGAGCTCCTTCAGCTTCGCCTTGAGGTCACGGATGCTGTCGCCGACCGCCTTGACCTGCGCGTCGAGCTCCTCCTTGGTGCCGCCGGCCGCAGCGGGGGGTCCCGGGGCGGCCGTGGCTGCAGCCGCCGGGCCCTTCGCCTGCGCCTCCTTCAGGGCCGTGAGCTGGGCCACCAGGGCCTTCACCTCCTCGGTCTTGTCGATCTGTTTGCCGCTGACGCCCCCAGCCTCAGAGCTCCCCGGGAGCCGTGCGGCGGCAAGCGGCCCGACGATCCCCGAACCCCCGAGCGGCCCGTTGTCAATCGACCGCGTGCGCGTGCCTGCGCATCGAGAAAGATGTGGAAGAACTCATCTCTGGGTGGAACTCACTCACCATCGTTCTGCTTTTTGTTTTCCAGTCATAAGGGTAGGTAAGGGGAAAAGTGTCCTCACTAAGATACTCTATTGCTCTTTAATAAACAGAAGCCGTGCGGTGACAGGCCGCCCGACGATCTCGAACCCCCAAAAACCTCACTGGACGGTGCCTCACCAGACGCTCGTGGGTACACCAGAGGCCCTGGGCGCTCGGGACACCCTCGGGGAACGGCTCCCAAGCCAGCCCGCCCACTCCGAACCCACTTCTGACTCGGCGGGTGGTGCGGACACCGCACTCGGCTGGACGCAAGAGTGACCCTGGGCAAAGTGACCTTTGGTGCGCGGCTTGGGGGGCAACGGGGGGGCCAAGTCCAAGCGCGCAAGCCGGCACTGGGGTGCCCTGGGGGACCCCCCCTGGGCCCGCACCAACGGTCACTCTGGCGAAGGCCAGCCCTCCGGTGTAGCCGACGCACCGCCGTGGGACCCCTGGTAGCCTTCAGCTTCTCCTTTGATGGGCCGGTTTCCCACCACCACTGCTACAGGTAGGAGACGAAGGAGAAGGAGGAGGAGGAGGATGAGGAGGAGGAGGAGGAGGAGGAGGAGGAAGAGGAGGTAGGTGGAGGAGGAGGAGGAGGAGGAGGAGGAGGAGGATGCCCGGCAGCCTTCAGCTTCTCCTTGAGGGCCCGGATCTCGTCGCCAGTAGCCTTGATCTGGGCTTCCAGGTCGCCCGACAGCACCACCGCGGGCGCCGCGGCGGCGGCCTTGGCAGCAGCCGGCTTCTCGGGCTCCGCCTTTGCTGGCTCCGCCGCCGCGGCCGGTGCCTTCGCCTCCTCCTCGAGAAGAAAACAACTCACACACCGCGCGTGCGCGGTAAGGGTGGAAGGGCCTTGGAAGGCCACGCCGACATTTTGC